GGCTGTGAACCTTAAGGTCAGCGGTTCGAAACTACCAGCCGCTCCGCGGGAGAAAAATGAGGCTTTCTACTCCCGTAAAGATTTATACCCTCGGGAACCCTGTACAGGGTTGTTATGGGTCGGAACCAACTCGATGGCACTTAACAACAACAACAAATATTTGTGAAAGTTTGCTTTATAGTAGGTACAAGAGAGATAATGGTATACTAGATATACTAGTTAGTCTCTTATGGAATATAGAGGTATCGTAAGAGAGCCATTGAAAATAATCATGTAAATCACAGTTTCATTTAAATATTTATGTGTGCTAGAAGAAAAATTACAAGGTGCAGGGAAGATGTATTTGAGGCCTTAGGGAAGGTCTAGAGGAGGTAGACCTGTTTGAGCTGAGATAGAAGGATGATTGTTGTTGTATGCAGTCAAATCAGTTCTGACTTATGGTTTCCCTATATACGGTTTCCAAGGAGGGGCTGCTGGGTGTGAACTGCCGACCGTGTTGTTAGTCCCGCACCAGGATTCATTCAGAAGGATGAATTGTTGTTAAGTGTCGTTGAGTTGGTTCCAAGTCATAGTGACCCTGTATTAAGTTTTCTGAGGAGTGGCTGGTGGGTTTGAACTGCTGACCTTGCATTCCAGTGCTTGTCCTATAGTTCCACTCCAGGACTCCAAAGGACGAGTTGTTGTTGTGATGCTGCCGAGTCGATTCTGACCCATAGCCACCCTGCATACGGTTTCCAAGGAGCAGCTGGTGAGCTTGAGCCACCTGTCTTGCAGTTTGACGGATTAACCCACAGCGCCAAGTAGGAGTTAACAAATCGAGAGTGGTGTGGGTGGAAAGACTGCTTTCAGAGAGGGGCTAGCATGTATGGAAGTCTTAATGTGGAAAGGAACATAGGGTGTGCAAAGAACTAAAAGGAAGTCAGGTAGCTAAAGCTTAGTAAATTGGGAGAATGGCTGATGGTGTGGTTGGAGAAGAGGGAAAAGGGATCGATCATTCAGGGTTGCCAGTTCAAACCCACCATTTTTTTTCTGTGACAAAAATAATGATTGTGTGCTCTCATAAAGATTTACAATCTCAGAATCCCTAAGGAGCAGTTAGTTTCTGTTGTATAGGGTTGTTATGAGTCAGAATTGACTTGATTTGTGACTGTGAACTGACTGTAAATTGTAGCCTATGAAGCTCCCTCCAGTTTTGGTTGCTGTTACACAGATTTGGATTTCTTAATTTGTAGAGAGTTATGTAGACCATTTGGTTTCTAGATGTGTAGTCTCTTGTTCAGTGCTGTTGAGTCATTTCCTATTCACAGCAACCCTGTATGGGTTTCCAAGGAGTGTCTATCTATGCATTGATTTTGATGGCAAAGGGTTTTTGGTTTTGTTAGACCTGACAAGGGATCATGTTGCTAAATCATGATAAAAGAGAGTGGTTCAAGGGATGCATTGTGGAATATAGACCGATAAGGGAAAGAAATAATTTCATTTGGGTTCAGATGGGTTGGGAGAAAAGGGAGGATTCAAGGGGATTCAGGTTTTTATGGTTCTGGTCTGGTGTGGTGATGGTATGCCATGGAGTTGATTCTGATGAATAGTAACCCTGTATAGGTTTTCTGAGGAGTGGTTGGTAAGTTTGAACTGATGACCGTGAGATTCAAACCAACCTAGTGGTTTCGTGCTTTATCCTTCAGTGCCACACCAGGTATGAGTAAGAAAATGAAAAATGGACTAACTGGAGAGATTGAAACCAAGATTCTTGTTGAATGCAATCCAGTTGGTTTCAACTCTATGCATAACAGGTGAAGTACAGCCCAGTGTTGGGCCATCCTCACAGTTGTATTTAAGTCCATTGTTGCAACCATGTGCCCATTCATCTTGTTAGGGTCTTCCTCTTTTTCGTTGACCCTGTACTTCACCAAGTGTGGTATCCTTTTCCAGGGACTGGTCCATACTGATAACATGTTCAAAGTACTTGAAACAAAGTCTGGCATCCCCGCAAAGTAAGAGTACATTTTCGCATCTGGTTGTACTTCTTCAAAGACAGATTTGTGTGTTCTTTTGGAAGTCTGTGGTACTGTCAGTATTTTTCAACACCATAATTCAAATAAATCCATTCTTTACCAATCTTCTTTATTCATTGTTCAGCTTTCACATGCATATGAGGCTATTGAAAATACCATGACTTGGGTCAGGTGCACTTTATTCCTCAAAGTGGCCTCTTTGCTCTTTAACACTTTCACAGAGGTCTTTTGCAGTAGATTTACCCAATGTAGTGTGTGGTTTAATTTCTTGACTGCTGCTTCCTTGAGTACTTATTGAAGATCCAAGTAAAAATAAATCATTGACAGCTTCAATCTTTTCTACGTTTTTATTGATATTATTTATGATATTATTGGTCTAGTTGTGAGGAATTTTGTTTTCTTTACATTGAGGTACAATCTATACTGAAGCCTTTGGTCTTCATCAATAAGTATTTCAAGTTCTCGTTGCTTTTAGCAAGCAAGGTGTTTGTTTCATCTGCATATTACATACTGTTCTTCCTCTAATCCTGATGCTGTGTTCTTCTTCGTGTAATCCATTTTCTAAGATTATTTGCTTAGCATACAGATTTAATAAGTATGGTGAAAGAATACAACTCTGACACACATTTCCCAATTTTAATTCACTCAGTACCTCCGTGTTCTGTTTGGACGACTGCCTCTTGGGTCTTTGTATAGGTTCTTCATGAGCACAACTAAGTTTTCTGGAATTCTTATTCTTCACAATGTTATCCTTAGTTTAGCATCTCACAGTCCATTTCCTAAGTTCATACTTTGTACATTCCACTTTCCAAATATTAATGGATGTGTGCATCTGTTTCTTCTTATTTTGAGTCTAGCCTCATCAGCAGATGAAGATCCAAAAGTTTTGCTCCATCCATGTCAGTAAGGTTCACTCTAAAGAGGCACTTCATCATCTGCTGTATTTTGAGTGCCTTCCAACTTGAGAGGCTTATTTTCCATGACTATATCAAGACAGTGTTTTGCTGCTCTTCATAAGGTGGTCTAATTCTTCAGAAGTAGACCACCAATTTCTTTTTCCTGGTCTGTTGTTAGTCTAGTAGCTCCGTTAAAGCCTATCCACCAGGTGACCCTGATGGTATTTGAAATACTAATGACATAGCTTCCAGCCACCATACTATCGGAAATATGTGGGGAAGCCAAGCTAGTATATTAGAATTGAAAATTTCAGAGCTAGAGCAGTTTAATTTTATTGTAAAGACTGCGTTTGTGGTTATGGGAATAGAACAGTGATAAAAACTATTGATGTAAAAGAAGTCCAGAAATGGTGGGAGCATGTTGTTGTGCTGTATATCCTATTGTAGATACATCAGTCAATCACCTATAGCGATGGTAAGAATTGGATTGGAAGGGAAAGTGTAAATCTATTAATAGATAACAGGGAGATCAGTAGGTGGCAACAAGAAGACAGATTTCAGGGCAATATTGTATGAATGGGGAAGAGGGTTATTTGAATGAGTATAGAAGACCAAACAGGAGTTTTTGTTTCTTAAACATCTTTTATATATCGTAGTCATTGTCTGAATACCAGAGGTTGGGTTAGATAGTAAACATTTTAGACTTTGCCACTTGCCTATGGTTTCTGTTGCCTTTTCATGTTTGCTTGCCTTTGTATCTCTTTAAAAAAAATACAAAACACTTTCTTAGTACATGTTGTTGTTGTTAAGTGCTGTTGAGTCTATTCTGACCCATAGCGACTCTGTATAGGGTTTCCAAGAAGTGACTGGTGAGCTTGAACCACCGACCTTGCAGTTCATATGATTTTGCAGTCTGACGCATTTAGCTCACAGCGCCACACCAGGCATAGGCCATACAAAAAGAAATAGCACCTGAGGTTGTAGTTTAATGACCTATGGATTATACTCACTATGGATTTTGTGACTCTACTTTTCTGTTACAAGTAATGTTTTACATTGTAAAATTTATATGTAGTTTCTCAAGCTTTTTCCCGTCTGTACTTGAGTAGTAGTAGTCTTGTATTGCAGAGTATTGAGGAGATTGTATATATTTATTTTTTAATGTTACCAGTATTACTGATTTATACTTCTCAGTGTGGTAATTACTTTGCATTTCTGAAAAGTCATAATATTTTTATCTTTATTTTTTTGTGGTGATTCAAGTTGAGTCAGCAGATACTGGAGCTATTTGAAACATGTCAGCAGCAAATAAGTGATTTAAAGAAGAAAGAAGTTTGTCGGACTTTGCTTCAGAGAGAAATTCAGCTGTTATTTCCACGTATGTTACCTTGTTACGCTATTCCCTCATGTTAACATAGTCCTGTTTTTAATTTTAAATAATACCTTGTTATTCTCCTTTATTTTTGTAGAAAGCAGACTTTTTTTGGTTGGATCCTCTTTGAATGGATTTGGTACCCGGACCAGTGATGGTGATTTATGCCTAGTAGTTAAAGAGGAGCCAGTAAGTAATGGAACATTTATTCCAAGAACGTTTTTCATGTTAAGTCATTTAATAAACATATAGAAGTCATTGAGGAAAAAAACTGTGTGTAGTAATTCAGGCAAAGCCAGGAAACGCATTGGTTTAAGACATATAAATATTAAGAATAACAGCTATAGCATTTTTTTAGTTCTAAGTTGTTAAAAGTGAGATGGCTTCAGCATGTGTTTTTAAAGGGCTCTGCTTCTATTTTGAAATGTCATTGGGTTAGCTATATTTCCAGAATGCAGCAAATTGAAAAAGTAAGGAAAAAGAGTATTCTTGTCATATTGCCTTTCCATTTACATTCTCAGTGATTCTATTTTTAATCTTTATTTTTTTTTCTCTTGAAAATGCTGTGGAGCTTGGGTTTATTATGGGATATCAATGACTTCAATGAAATTAAAAATAAGATTTACTGTGCTTTATTACACTTAATCTACTATTTTGTGCTGATATTTTGGCATTGTTTCTTTTAGTAGATAGCTTTAATATAACAAGAATTGATGTTTAATAAACTGACCCGAAGCAGTCTTTTTAAGATCCTGAGGTCATTTCTGAATTGATACAGATTAAATTAAATACAAGTATGCGCAACATAATGTAGTTTTGGGAAACATCCAACTGCATAAACATCCTTGAGGTGATGAGGAAGGGTTTACTTGGAAGGTCACCAAGAGGTGGGACCAGCGTTGAGTTTGTGGTGCCTTAGCAGCTGCAGTGCAGCTTGTAGCCTCCCCTGCCCACCCTCCAGCCATATAGAAGCTGTCGCTACTTCCACTGGTGAGTGCCCTGCCCATCTGCCCTGAGTCTTTTTCCCCTTTGGGGGAAATGCTGGGTTGCAGCCTCTCTACTACATTTTTTGGGACTTTGATTCTGACCAGGCTTCCCAGGGGCTGTTCAGTGTCGAGTCCAGATGCAGCCATTTTCAGTTGCTAATTTACCAACTCCCGAGACTTCAGGCACTCAGGAGAGCCAGAGCTGTTTGAGGGAGTGTTACTTTGATATATCTGTATCAAATATTTATAAACATGTACTGTATGTAATACGATTTTTACACAACATTCAATCCAAATCACTTAACGTCCTATTTCACAGAATGTATGTGGACGTTAAGCAACACATACCTGTTCAATTTAATTTTACAAGTGTGCCTTATAATGTTCCAATTCTTTCAAAATACAAAAAAGGGTGTTAATGGTAATGCATATTTTTTTTGCCATTCCTATTATTCCATCAATAGAATTAGTTTCTAGTTACTGCAAACTAAAGAGTTTTATTCCATAAAAGAAACAGCTTATTTTCTAGTCTTCAAAGAAGTAAAAAAAAAATCTTAGAGAGTGTAAAAGTTTTGGTTAAAACTTGCTCTCATACAGTTAGACTACTTGCAGGCACATCCCACTAATTCTGCCGTTGTAGTCGGATGTCTGCGTCTTGTTGTCATAGCTGGCACTCATGTTAGAGATAGGCTTATCTGTTAGCAGCTTACAATTTAGATAAGGAAATATGTTACAGAATGTTGAGATTCTGCTTTATTTTGTTGGAGAAATTGCTTTTTGTATGTTTATACTGAAGAATACATTATATATATGGCTATTTCAGTATTAAAAATTATGCTTTAAGTTTAAAGTTAAGTACTTGATTTAGAAATGTTGAAGCGTTAAAGATTGACTATAACGTAAGTTAGTGTCTACTGAAAAAATAACTCAGAAGTTATCTTTTATATTTTGTTGAGGTACTTTCTAGAAAGTGAAACTCTAAGCTTAGAATGATAATGAAAAAACACTTTATTTTTAACTTTTCAGTGTTTTTTTCAGGTAAATCAGAAGACTGAAGCACGGCATATACTCACCTTAGTCCATAAACACTTCTGTACTAGACTTTGTAAGTCTGACATGCCTCAAGCTCATATGTCATCTGACATAACTATTTAAAATGTCTCTCACTGTATTTTTATTCTGGTAAGAGTTGTTTGTTTTCTGGTCAGGATAGATATAATGTGGATTCTTTTATTTTGAATGGTTTCCTTTTAATTTTTTATTAAATGGAGGAGTGACTATTCAGTGACTCTTTATTCTGCTTATTCACAAGATATCTCACTGAATGTAGTGGAGGATTCAAAGATGTTATGCCTCAGTTCTTTTTCTCAAAAGGATATAGACTATTAGGAGGGAAACTAGAACATGAGTACAAATATGAGTAATGTAAAGTATCTGTGAAAAGCTGAAGGAGTGATTCAGATACAGCCCTATACATGTTAACATGAGGGAGAAAAAAATTCCAGATTTTTTGTAATTACGTGCATCTTTTCTTGTTTTAAAAATACTATCACTGAATATGAAGCCCAAATGTTGTATTATTCCAATACAATGCAGAGTGGTAGACAAGGCCATTTTATTTTAAGATTTAATTCTTTGAATAATTTCATTCTAAGCAGATTTTAATCCACATGTTAAGCCATCTCAAATATTTAATTTTATACTTCCACAGATTATTGTGGACACTTGAAGTCATAATAACTACATGATGTTGGAAAGATGATTTGCCCATTTATTAGCAAATATTTGTTATATGCCAGGCTTTGAACTGGGAAATACAGTTATTGCCCTTGAATAGCTTAAAATCTATTATGGGAGAGATAGAGATCAAATGATTATACTACAGTGAGGTTCAGTTACAAAGGGGTAATTCATCTTTTAAGTGGATTTTTGATGGCTGTTATTAGAATCATAAAATGTTAATAATTGATAAGACCTTGAGGGATCATCAAATGAAGGGTGTTTTGATTGCCTATTTAAAAAGTTAAGGTATCTGGTAATTAAATAAGTTCAGTAGCTTACCCGGGAGTAAAGTTTGTTGGTGTCAAAACGCTGTACTTGGAGCTGAAAACTTTTAACTCCAAATCTTTTTTTCATTAATATTCTCTGGATTCCTAAACATAATTTCCATTTTGAGACTTGACTTATTTTATAATTTTGATAGTAAAAACATTGTAACAAAAAATAGGTAGTAATTAAATATTCCAATTTTATTTTTTTGAAAATTCACTTTAGTTAAGAGTGAAGAATTTGCTCACTTATGAAAGGTTTACAGTTTCTTCTTTATATGTTTCTGTATTTCCTAATTTCTATAAATATAGTGAACATTTTAATTCAAACTCAGAAAGAAAATCTTTAAAAGTTAGTTGGAATAAAAAAAAATTATCTGTCTGTCTATCTATCTATCTATCTATCTATCTATCTATCTATCTATCTATCAAATGAGCCTTTCTTCTTAGAGGTTCTACTTATTTGAATGTGCCCTCTACTCTATTTTTATCTCGTTTCAGGCATTTCTACATTTAAGATTCTTTTGTAAATATTATTTTTATAGCTACATAATACTTCATGTGCTGCACCAAAATGTAGCGAGCTAGCTTCTTGTTGCTAGCTTGGATATAAAACTATTAGACCGCATTTCTGAAAAGCTTAATATTAATAAAATCTCTTAAAGATTGGACCCTGCAGTAATAGAAGATTTCAGTGATGTCCTCATTTTGTTTTCTTTCATAAAGACTATATTTTAACTTTGTAAAATGCATAGATTAGAAAATGTGCGTGTTAATGGATTTGAAAAACATTTAGAGATATTCACATTATATTCTTTATGTTTAGCTGGCTACATTGAGAGACCTCAGTTGATTCGAGCAAAAGTGCCAATTGTTAAGTTCAGGGATAAAGTCAGGTAAGTAGCTATTGAACTCTTTCCTTTACTTTAAATCATTGTTATGTGTTCACGTGATGTACATAATTGAGAAATGTATACTGTAGACCCCTATACGTGGGTAGCTTTGAGGAGGGGTTGACTAGATGGCAGTAGGCTTGGTTTAGAGTAATTGCATATAATGGTGTCTGATTAGAATTGGGATTTGGTTAGGTTGTTTCATATTAGTATATAGAGAATGGTGTTAGTTGTCCTACATAGTCTAATGTCCAACAAAGTCAGTGGAGTCTTAGTGTGGAACTTTGGGTAAATGCACTGGACTGTAAGGTCTCTTTGACCTGCAAGGTTGGCTGTTTCAGCTCACCAGCCGCGCCTCAGAAACCCTATACAGAGTTGCTTTGTATCAGTACTGACTTGACAGCACTTAACAACAGCAACATAATCTGTATGCTAAAATTATGTATACCAGTTATAACTTAATGGGCTTCTATGGCAACTGTCTTTTCTTCTTTTGCATTTTGCACACATTCTCAATTTTTACTCTAATTCAGGTTGCAAAGTCGTGGTGTTAGGTAAAAGTTGAATTATATATGCTGAGGTATACATAGATAAATAGGCAATGTAGTTAATTATATTGCAGAAGTTGTTGTTATTAGGTGCCATCAAGTTGGTACTGACTCATAGCAACCCTATGCACAACAGAATGAGACATTGCCCAGTCCTGGGCCAACCTCACAATTGTTGCCACACTTGAGCCCATTGATGCTGCCACTTTGCCAATCCATCTTGCTGGGGGTCTTCCTCGCTTTCTCCGACCCTTTACCCTACCCAACATGATACCCTTCTCCAGCAACTGACTGGTCCCTCCTGACAATATGTGTGAAGTATGAGAGGTGAAGTTTGGCCTTCCTGGCCTCTAAGGAGCACTCTGGCTGCACTTATTCCAACACACAACTGTTGGTTCTTTTGGCTGCCCATGGTACTTTGAATATTCTTCTCCAACACCATAATTCAAATGCATCAGTTCTGGGATCTTCCATATTCACTGTCCGGCTTTCGCATGCATATGAGGTTATTGAAAATACCATGGCTTGGGTCAGGCGCACCTTAGTCCTCAAGCTGACATTTT